TGTGTTCACACTATTCCAACAGACTTGGTGGTGTGGTCCATTCAGTGCTTTAGAAACTGTTGCATGGTGTATTATTCACTTTTCTGTTGCTGTGGTAGAAACACCATGACCAAGGAAACTTATAAAAGGATGAGTTTATTTGAGTTTATGATTCCAGGGGAATTAAAGTCCATCATGGTGGGGAGACATGGCAGTAGAGGTAGCTGGAACAGAAAGAGGAATGCTCATGTCTTCAAGCAGGCACAGGAAGCAGAGAGCAACTCAAGATCCAGCAAGGCTTAAGAACTGTCTAAGCCTTCCCCGCAAGTGACATACTTCCTCCAGCATAGCCAAACCTTCTAAAAGCTCCCAAAACAGTGCCACCAACTGGGGACAAAATGGTCAAGTACTTGGAGCCTATGGGGGACATTCTCATTCAAACCACCACAGTCTACTCCCTGGCCTCCATAGGCTCATGACCATATAAAATGCAAAAGGCATTTAGTCCATTCTTAAAAGTTCCCATAGTCTTTACCAGTCTCGGTACTATTCTAAAGTCCACAATCCAAAGTCTCTTCTGAGACTCTGGGCAATATTTTAACTGTAAGTCCCTGTAAAATCAAAAGACAAATTACATGCTCCCAACATACAGTGGAACCAAATACACATTCCCATTCCAAAAGGAAAGAATAGAGGCATAATGAGGACATACCAGACCAAAACAAGACCAAAAATGAGTAGGGAAAACACCAAATTAAGTAACTCCACATCCAACTTCTGGGACTTTACTTCCAAAAGGCTTAGATGACTCAGCCTCTCCAGCTTTGCTGTATGAAACATGCATGTCTCTCTTGGTTTGGTACCACTCCCTGTATGCAGCGCTTCTTGGCAGACATATCACAGCTCTGGCTCGTGAACATCTTCTTGGGGTCTCCACTGCTAACCAAGCTTCACCTTCACAGTTTCACTCAGTGACCTATCAGGGCCTTCTTTATGCAGGGGTACCCCTGCTACATGCTGCCTGGCCTCAGCAGCTCTCTGAAACTGAGGAAGAAGAACCAATGACCACTTCAGTCTTAATCTTTCATGTATCTAAAGCCAGAACCAGGTGAATAACACTACCAAGTTTAGCAGCAAGTTTGGGATGGACCCCAGCCTGCTTCATCCACTTTAGAAGCTTTTCTCTTCAGTGGTTTTCTAGGAGAAAGCCCCTGGAGCATTTTCCTTTCACAAGTTGGAGGCTTAGCTGGGTGTGGTCTTGCCCTGAAGGCACTCCCTCCATTGTATAAGTGCAAATCTCTAGGCCTCTCCTTAATCACTTTAATCTCCTTATCAAAGGGATCCTCTACTTCAGCACATACCTTGGCTCTTTTTCAATCCAGACTGTACATTCTGTATTTCTTTCTGCCCCATTTGCTCTTTTTTACATCTGCATAATATTCACCATTAATAGACATACCACCATTCCTATGTTACGCTGTCTTGAAATTTCCTCCACCAAAGAAATTAGTTCATTGCCTTTCAATTTAGCCTCAGGCAAACTTTTTGGCTGTGGGCAGACTCCAACCAGACTCTTTGCCAAAATATTCCAATTGCTGCTTGAGTCCTTATTTCCCTTTAGAAGTACTTTGCTCTTAGCACTACTTTCTTCCAGGCTCCAACTAGAAACCACTTTTATAATCCAGACTTCTAAAGTCTTCCACATTTCTCCAAAAACCCACATGGTCAGGTTCTTCATAGCCAACGCCCCACTCCTGGTACCAATTTCTAGTTTGTTTCTCCATTGCTGTGACAGAAAACTCTGACCAATACCAACTTGGGGAGAAAAGGGTTTATTTGGCTTACATCTCCCAGGTCACAGTCCATCAGGGAGCCCAAGGCAGGAACTCAGGCAGGAACATGGAGGCAGGAGCTGGAGCACAGATCATGAAGGAACACTGTTTACTGGCTTGCTCCCCTGGCCCATACTCAGCCTGCTTTCTTAAACAATACAGAATAAACTTCTCAGAGGTGACACCACCCACAGTGGGCTGGGCCCTCTCACATCACTCAACAATCAAGAAAATACCCCCACAGACATGACCACAGGTTAGTCCAGTAGAGGAAATTCCTCAATTGAGGCTTCCTCCACCCAGGTGTGTCAAGTAGACACTAAAGCCATCCAGCACAATTGACCCCTTATCAACTTGACACACAAACACATCACTATTAAACCAGAACCTTTCCATTTCTTGTCCCCACGATATGACATTAACAATATCACAACATAAGACACTACAACCTTAAAAGTCCAAAAAAATCCTAACACTTAAAAGTTCATAGCCTCTTTTAAAGATCTCTTAACTGTGGGCGCCTGTAAAATTCAAAATAAGTACTCTCTTATTTCAAAAGGGAAGAATTGGGCACACCTAAGCAAAACCTAAGTCCAGCAAAGTAGCTCAAGGCTGGACATCTGAGATTCATTCACAATCTTCTGGGCTCTAAAGGGTTTCAACAGCTCCATGTCTCTGACTCTGCTGTCCACAGCACACACAGCTCATCTCACAGACTTAGGCCAGCTCCATTCCACACCTGTTGCTGCCTTTGGTGGTCATCCCATGGTCCTGGCATCTCCAAAAAGCTGGGGTCACCACTGAAACTGAGGCTGCACCTTCACCAATGGCCTCTTTTGACCTCTTGGGGTGCAATGCCTCATATTGTCTCCATGACCTCTTCAATCCTGGGGTCTTCACTGCAACTAAGGCTGCACTTTCACCAGTGGCCTTTCCTGGCCTCTCAGGATGCCAAGCCTCAGCTGCTCTTTGTGACCCCTTCATGCTTTCAACACCAGAACCGGGCAGGAGACTCTTATACATTACCAAGTCCTGCTTCCAGCTTGAGATGGAAGCTTGGGTCCCCTCTGGGCTATAGTTCTATGAGCTGACCCTGAGGAAACACTTTCCAGAAGATTTTGCCGCAGTGATGTTGGTCTCTTGGTTACTTACACCTGATTTTTAAACTTCAGCTAACCATCATCAATTGTCCCAGTAAAACAAAGGTTTCACTTCAGTGGTTCTGGTCTCTTCTTAAGTACAGCTAATTTTTCAGTCCCAGTTGACCAGAACCAACAGATAATCAATTCAAGATATCACACAAACAGCTCTGATAGACTCAGCTTCCCTTTGAAGCTTTACAAGCCAGGCCTCCAGCTCTTTCAGCATAACTGTCCCAAGCTCCACAGCAACAAACTCTAAGCCAAACTCAATGGCTTTTCCATCCCAAAGTTCTAAACACTTCCACAGTCATCCCAAAATACCAAGGTCAGGTCTGTCACAACAAAACCCCATGATCCTGGTACCAATTACTCAATTACTTTTCTATTGCTATGATAGAAACACGATGACCAAGGGAACTTATAAAAGGATGCGTTTATTTGAGCTTATGGTTTCAGGAGAATTAGAGTTGGTCAAAGCAGGAAGGTGTGGCAGCAGATGTGGCTGGAACAGAAAGAGGAGTGCTCACATTTTCAAGCAGGCACAGGAAGCAAAGAGGGACTCGTGATCCAGCAGGGTTTAAAAACTCTCTAAGCCTGCCCCCAGTAATATATTTCCTCCAGCATGGCCACACCTTCTAAGAACCCCCCCCCCAAAAGCAGTGCCACCAACTGGGAACAAAATGTCCAAAACCTTGGAGCTTATGGGGGATATTCTCCTTCAAACCACCATACATGGACTATTTACATGGACCTTCCTGGGCTAGGGCTGCCCCTCCAGCTGCTGGTGCTGTGGCTTTCCATACCCTGAATACTGTCAGAACTCAGTCATCTGACTGACTTGGGGCTCATGCCCTTTTGTCTCTACTGTCAATTCAAAGCCCAAATGAAGCAGCTTACAAAAGAACACTTAGTTTCCCACAGTGCTTAAGTGAGACCAAAGTTGGACAAATGTGGCCTCTCTTCATATGCTATTGACTTGGAGATTGGTTTGAAAGATGGGAGGAACTCTTTGGAATCCTTACAAGAAGGTAAAGATGAGCTTAAAATAATGGAATTACCATGTCTACTGTAGAAAACATTGCAGAATATGATGTGTCAGTCAGCTCTCCATTACTATAACAAAATACCTGAGATAAACTTACAGAGGTTTTCAGTCCATAGTTGCTTGGCTGTGCTACTTTGGGGCTTGAGGGATCACAGTGTGGAAGACACAGTAGAGCAAAGTTATATATTTCATGGCAAATGAAAAGCCAAAAGAGAAAAGAGAAGAGGCTGAGGTCCACAGTCCCCTTCAAGGCCACAACCTCAGTGACCTCCCATGACCTGTGTTCCAGTAGCACCACGCTGAGGCCCAAGCCTGTAACCTAAGCATGGGCCTTTGGGAGACATTCCAGAAACAAACTGTAGTACAAGCTTTGAAAAGGTCTTGCTCATAACTTAATCTTGAAAAGATCACCTAATGCATAAATTCTTAATCTAGTCATCCTCAAAAGTTCTGTAGACCTTTGAAAGCATGTGCAAAATGCTGCCAGGGTGGGCTTTCTTATTCTTGGGTAAAAGTAAGGACCTATTTCAAAAGGTAAGTAACCATTACCTCCATCATTAACAGGCAACATTTCACCACTATTCACTGAGACAGCCTTGGAAGTAACTATCCACCCATGGATCCTAGTGCTTCCAAAGACTCAGAGCTGATCAGCTACCAGCCAGTACACCCCTATTTTATATCATGTTTCATTGTTAAGGAAACCTGTGTGTTTTCATAGAAAGATACTTCAAATTTTAAAGTAAAGATCAAATGTTACTGTTAAAAATGTTCTTGGAAACCTCTTTACAATAGCAACAACCCAAGGTCAAGAAGGCCACTGGAGAAAGGGGAGGAGGATGAAAGGGAACATTGGGATGTTCAGATAGAAAATTGTGTGGGCCACTGGAGGGCTCAACCCCAGCTGAACCATTAAAGAGTAAGTTGTTTCAGCTGCTAGAATTGAAGAGAGGTCCTCCAATTCCTTTGACAGTATTTGACTTGTCTTTATTTTTCCCATAGCCATGGAACTCGGTGTGCAGGAGAAGTTTCAGCTGCAGCCAACAACAATATCTGTGGGGTCGGTGTGGCCTACAACTCCAAGGTGGCAGGTGAGCCCAACCTGTCAGAGGCAGGTGCTACTTGAGAAACCAGCCCTGGACATTATCACATTTGTTCTGGTCTCTAACCTGACAGGGCCCACCAAAATAATCCCACTGGGCAGGAGAGTGGAGAGCCATGGGTGGAGGGAGACTGGAAAATGTTTAATTTTAATCACACACTGATACACTTCAAATATTCTTAAGCATAAGACACTGAAAAATATGTAGATTATAAGCACACAGCTCGAATGTGAATGAATTTTCACAGATGTAACACCCATGTAACAAACAAAAACAAAACACAGCCAGACTCCAAAGCCCTCCTCATGACTCCACCTATACCTACCCAAGAATAACCAGTCTTTTTCTGATAGCAAAAACGATCATTTCTGGTTTTTAACTTTATATTAATGTAAAGTAACTACTTTACAGTATTGCATATTCACTCCTGCTTTGTGTCAATGTCAGTAACATTTTAATGAGATTCAAATATAGACCATTAAATATAAGGATGTGTGTACAGATTATTTCTAGATTCTGGGGACCCTTGAAACAGTTTTGCACAATCTCATCTTTAAGGAGAGATGTTCTGCCTGGAACCCTTATGAAGTTTCACTGGGTCTGACACTTCACAATTTCAGTTTTACAGGGGCTTTAGAAATGGTAATAGCAAGTCAGTGGGAATTTAGAGACAGACAGACTCCTAAGTTTTCAACAAGATGTCAGGCAAGATGTCTCAGGGAATGGAATGAGTTCTGGTTGCTCTAAGCTTTGCATCAAACTTGTTCTTAATTTATGTAAGCTGAGTCACCCAACCTTGTTTTCCTTTCTTTTTCACAACTGTCTTGGTAATTTCTTCCCTAGCAATTTGATGGAAACATAAGCACTTTGTGCTGACACTTGCATTTTCAGAGGCCTAAATAAAGCAAATGTAGGCTCTACAAGGCCACCCTTAACTGCTTTCAGCAGTGTTTGCTGAGACACCTGCCTGAGCAGGGTGCAGAATCTATTTATATCCATAGGTATATACGTATGGATATACGTATGGATATATGGGGGGGCTGGAGACTGGCTTAGTTGGCACGTTGCTTGCCTTCCAAGCACAAGAATCTGAACTTAATCCTCAGAACCCACATAAAAATGCCAGGCATGGTAGAACATGCCTGTAATCCCAGCACTGGGGAAGCAGAAACAGGAGGATCCCTGGAGCTTGCTGGTCAGCCAGTCTAGCCTAGTTGGTGAGTTCCAAACCAATGAGAGACCTTGTCTTAAAGGAGATAGACAGTATTACAGAGGATGACACCTAAGGTTGTCCACCAGTCTCCACAAGAACATGCATACACATGTACCCACACACGACACAAACAAGCCCATACACACACATACATTTGCTTTTCTTAATATTAAAAAAAAAAATGTACCTGGAGAATTCTGGCACATAGACAGAGGTGCCCTTGAGGTTTCAGTGCATTTCATTTTCAAAATGCCAGGAGTCGATATGAGCTCAGGGGAAAAAACACCACCTGGTTAGTTTTTGTAAACCAGGTTCATACCTGGGGTGGTGTCTGAGTCCAAATAAGCTTTCTCTTCACAGGGCAGAACTGGAGACAACTGAAACTTGAATTTCTCATTCACAATGATTGTCTTCAAAATAGTTTTGAAGGGAAATGGGTTGAGACAGGTTCTGTAACCCAGGCTGGCCTAGAACTCATGATCTTAGCCTCCAGTGCTGGGATTAAAGCAGTGCACCACCAGGCTCAACTATAACCTGCTTTTTTGAGCAAGAGGGTTTGCAGAGCAGTAACTTGCAAAAGTTAGGAGAGTTAAGGGCAGCCCAGGGCTTTCTGGATGTGCTTGCAACTCCCTGCCCCTGTTCCCTTTCTCTTTTCTCTTATTGTTTACACTCTGGAAATATCTGAGTTCCCTGATTCTCCTGTTCTCTCCAAAACCAAGGAAATGGGTGCAAGAGGTTTATTTTGGAGGTGATTCCAGGAAGCTAGAGTGAGGAAATTTGGGGTAAGAAGGCAAGCAAGGGAGGGGAGCCAGCACAGGGTCAGGGCAGTGAGTTCACTCCTGAAGGTGACCCTCAAAGGGTCAGCAACACCCCTCAGAAGGGTACCAACAAACATAGGTAAGGAGGCTCCTGTGGTTCCTTGGTTGAGATGGCTCCTGGGCCAGGAAGACCCTCACTTGTTCAAGTCCCGCTCACTAGGGCAGAGCTGAACCCAATTGACAGAGAACGTCTCCCAGGCCCAGAGAGTGGGATGACCAGAAAAGCCCAGCTTCCCCTGCTGAATGCAGACTGAGCCCGATAGCACAGCCCACACAAGAAAGCACTGAGGTTGCAGCGACCCAGGATGGAGTCTAGAGGGAGTGCACCCAATCACACAAAGATCTGCTAGCCAGGCTCCAGTGTCTCTTTTCTTACCCTGATGCTAACTGTCCAAGAGTTGAGGAATCTCAAGTGTTCAACCTTTTGGCATTGCAGCACAACGTTGCCATCTACAAAATTCACCCTCCAAATGTGGAAGTGAATTACTATAAGGACATATATGCATCTTAGTGTGTGTGTTGTTTGTTTGCTTGCTTGCTTGTTTTCAGACAGAGTTTCATCATAAACTCTAGCTTGCTTGAAACTCGCTATGTAGACCAGGCTTACAGAGATGCACCTGCCTCTGCCTCCCGAGTGCTGGGATTAAAAAGTTTCGGGATCCTCGACCATACAAATTTTGGAGGAAGGAATATTGTGCTCATCTGGCTGACAATTATGAAAACTTCCTAGTTTTTTCTTGTTTATTTTGTTTTTATGTATTATTATTCACTAAAAAAGAACCAAACTCTCCCAGAGATTTTTTTTTTTTTTAATTTGGAGCTTTCTGCGCTAGAGCGAGCTAAAGCGTCACCTGGTGGCCAACTGAGATAATTGCTGGTCTATGGCTATGACAAGAGACGGAAGTATTGGCTGTGAGGCTTGAAGAGTTTTTATTCAGTCTGTCCAGAAAAGAAGAAAGAGAAAGGCCTGACAGGGCCTAGTGACACAGACACGTAATACCAGAGTTTGGGAGGCTGAGGCTTGAGTAAGAATCCAACCTGTGCTACTTAGTGGAAGCCTGTCTGTTTCCATTCTCAGTCAGCTCCCCAATTTGCCTAACCTTAAAATGCTCCAGAATTAACACCTGGAAATGATATTATGAAATAGAAAATGAACCCACTGTAAGGAAAAAGAGAGCTCCGAGCACTTCTTCAGGTGTCCAGCTCCTCGGCCCACAGACTTTGCTGGTGTTCCCTGTTGATTTTCAAGCAGTTTTGACGTGTCTCCGATATTTGCCCAGTACTCATTAACTTCCGCATGAGGCTACCAGTCCATCTAGAGTCTAGCTTTATAGAGTTGTCTAGCAATTTTGTTTTCCAAACAGTAAATCGGTGTTCCTAGCACCATCTATGTGATAACACACACTGACGTTATCACATATACATATTGTGTGTTGCCTGTTGAGTTCCCATGGGTCACACATGGGTCGATCTCTGGGTAAATACAACTTAGATAAAAACTAATGAATATAAATTAGACAGTGTGGTCGTTACTTCCAGGACCACTGTATATGTTCTTTCCTCTGCCCAGAGCTCCTCCCCTATGCTTTACCTGAACACCTCTTCTTTGAGCGCTCAGAAATCCCAACATCATCTCTCTGGCCAGGTAGTTTCCTCATTTATACTTGACAGAAAAAAAGTGCCCTGAATTTTTCCTTCCCAGCACTCACTACTGTTGGTTATTATATGTTCTTGCTCGATGTATTAATCGAGATTCTCCAGGAAGATAAAACCAGTGGGGGGCGGGGCGGGGAGACGGGAAGGGACGGGAGGGGAGGGGACGGGAAGGGAGGGGAGGAGAGGAGGAACAAGGAAGGGAGATGGGAGGGAAGCAATAAGGAGAGAGTGGGAAAAGGGGAAAAGAGAGGGGGAGAAGGGAGGGAGGAGAGAGAGAGAGAGAGAGAGAGAGAGAGAGAGAGAGAGTTTAGCAATTTGTGCATTTATTCTGGAGGCTGAGAAGTCGCACTCCAGGTCCTCTGCCAGTTGAAGCCATGGGGTGATGCTGGCGTGATCCAGTACAATTCCAAAGGCCTGAAGGCCCAGAGGCTGCTGCTCTAAGTCCTAGAGATTAAAAGCCAGAAACTGAAGTTCTGGTGTCCAAGGGCAGGAGAAGAGCTGGTTCCAGCTCCAGGAGAGAGAAGAGCCAGTTTGCCTTCCCTCCCATTTTTCCCTCTCCAGGCCCCCCAAGTCACTGAATGACATTGCCCTCATCAGCAATTTATCTTCTTCCACATAGGCCATTCCACATAGGCCACTCAGGCTCTTAGTAAAAGTGGAAAAACCCACACAGATACAACCAAAATAATGTTTTACCAGTTCTCTAGGTAGTCCTTCATCCAGGCAAGCTGGCACTTAAAAGTTAACTATCCCATGCTTCCCTGTCTGATTACTATGTTTCTCACCCACCAACCACAGTCTCCACAAAGTCAGTGCCCTGAGACATCTGGGCTCATAGATACCCAAACCCTGTTGGCTAAATGAGAGAGGGAGTTGATGGTTAAGTCCATTAATAAGACATCGATAACCACTGAATTAAAGAATTGGTGGATCAATAGGGCTAAAAGATTAAGGGTCTAAGAACTGAACGCCAGTAGAATTTCAAACCAGCAAGTAAAAGATGTCCTCCTACCAGAACGTTAACCTTTGCCACTTTGTCTCATAGGATTCCTGAGGAATGTGGAGCCTTCTCAGACTCCCCTTGCTCTCTCCTCACATGTACTGTGGGGATGTGTGGAGGCTAGCACCAGCAATCACATCAGTAGGAGCTGTCCAGGGTACAGCCGTGGACTCAGATTAGTGGGTCCTTTGCACAATGCCTGGGGCCCTCAGAGCTAAAAAGAGTGCTGAGACCATCTACCAACCTTACTATTGTGGTGTTGAAAATAGAGTATGTGACTTTTCAGGGGCTCTTACCTTCA